GCCGCCGTCGTCGCCGCCATCATCGCCGCCATCGTCGAAGTCGTCACCGCCGTCGTCACCGCCGTCGTCGAAGTCGTCGGAGCCGTCATCGGCATCGTCAGAACCATCGTCGGCGTCGTCGGAGCCGTCGTCCGCGCCGTCGTCCGCGCCGTCGTCGGTGCCGTCGTCCGCGCCGTCGTCGGTGCCGTCATCGGCGCCGTCGTCAGCAGTGTCGTCGGTGCCGTCGTCAGCAGTGTCGTCGGTGCCGTCGTCAGCGGTATCGTCGGTGCCGTCATCAGCGGTGTCGTCGGTGCCGTCATCAGCGGTGTCGTCGGTGCCGTCGTCAGCAGTGGTGTCAGTGCCGTCGTCGGTGCCGTCGGTGCCGTCGGCAGCCTGGTTGCACTCGTGAATGGTTTGTTAACGTAGCAGCAATCTTGACTTACAGTTCCGTCGGTGGCGTCGGTTCCGTCGGTTCCGTCAGTGGTGTCGGTTCCGTCATCCGTCCTGCAACAGGGTCAGCAACACGGCGCAACAAACACCAGCGAGGCAATTACGCGGCGGGGTCCGCGGCCGCATCCGTCCTGCACAAGAGTGAGTACATAGGTTCGAGAACAGGGCAAAATAAATGCGTACGCAGTTGCGTCGGTGCCGTCGTCGGTTCTAGACACGGTATCAGGATCGTCGTCAATGGAACGTAAGAACGAGAGAAAACTCACGCAGTGGCATCAGCATCGTCAGCAGAGTCGGTGCTAGCACGGTCGTTAGACGCAACGAACGGAGAAAGCAAACAACGGTGGCGTACGCGGTAGGGTCGTCCGTGGCCGCGGCCGCGTCCGAGTCCGTGGCCGTCGGGTCGTCCGTCGCCGCCGCCGCGTCAGAGTCCGTCGCCGTGGCGGCGTCCGAGTCGGTCTCTGCCGCCGCATCCGAGTCGGTCGCAGTCGCCGCGTCGGAGTCGGAGTCGGTGCCCGTCACCTGGTCGGTGGTGCTGTCCCCTGCGTCGGACGTGGTGGTGGCATCAGCGGCGTCGGACGTGGTCGTTGCGGTCCCGTCCGTCGACGTCGTCTGCGCGGCGTCGCTCGTGGTCGTGGCGGCCGCCGTCTTGGATTTCGCGGCTGCGCCAGCCTTCGCGGCGCCCGATCCGGCCTTGGCAGCGGCGGCCTATCATGATCGTCGGCGGATGTCATCAGAGATGCGAGAGATTGATCACCTTCTGCGCGGCAGCGGCGGCAGCCTTCTGCGCGGCGGCAGCCTTGGCTGCGTTGGCCTATAGGACGTATGACTCGACAGGTTGCACACGAGACGAGGGATAAACGTACCGAAGCTGCTGCTGCTTGGGCGGCTGCAGCTTTCGATGCCTCAGCCTTTGCAGAGGCGACGATCTGCGAATGCGAGCCGTTAGCAACTCAACAAAGTTTTAATCCTCCGAAACATTACCTTTGATGCCTGCGCGTTGGCTGCAGAAAGAACCTGTGCGTGGATGAGCCGCCGGTCCAAACAACAGGCTGCTCCTGGATGTACGAACCTTAGCTGCCTAAAGGAAGATCAGCGCACGTCCTAAACAAGAGTTGGCTCGTCTTACCGCAGCCTCCTGAGATTTCTGGGCAGTTGCGGCGCTTGCTGCTGCGGATGCGAGAGCGGCCTGTCCTCCGTTTAACACGAATTCACTCGCGGTCGCGGAGAGATCTCACCTTGGCGCTGGACTGCGCTGCGGCAGCGCTGGCGCTGTTACCGCTCGCCGAAGCAGCGCTGGTGGCGTTGCAGGCGCCAGCCACGGCGTTGCCGACGGTCGATGCCGACGACAAGAAGCCCTGTACACATGACACATGTCAGACGCTTGCTGAATCAATGCCGCAAAGTTTACACACCTTGACGGTGGCAATGTTCTTCGCCACTGTGGGGTCGGAGCTGGTTCCCAGGCGCGTTAGCGCCGGGCAACGGACTGTGACGGGATGACACACCTCTGGATTTGGCTCAGCACAGAGAGGGCGGACGAGAGCCCGTTAGAGAGACCGGTCGAGATGTTTGCGCACTGTTCTCGGAGATGAGCATCCGCAGGTGAAGGTGTGACTCAGGCAGGCAAACGCACCTCGGCGCCGTTAAGGAAGTCGAGAGCAGCACGAGCCTCAATATCGTTGTGGAAGTCGAGCGGAGCTGCAATTCGAACCCGTCAGAGGCCGGCTTGACAGCACAGCGAGCAGTACGCACCTCCATCCGTCTTCAAGACGGAAGCCGCCAGGAAGGCGACGAGGAAAGACGCAGAGAAGCGTGTCATCTTAGGATTAATCCAGCGAAGAACGAAAGTGGGACCAGCAAGCTGGAGAAAAAGAAAGGGTTGAAACGAGTAATAGGGACCAAGCTACGACGCTGAACAGCACAGGAAGGACTAGCCCGTGGACAAAGATGAATGGAAGGGCAGGTCGACGGCCTGGGGAATTTATATGCACTTCCGCGGCGCCAATGCGATGCACCACGCCGCTGTTCTGTCAACTGCCAGTTAACGCGCATTTTCGAACGTTCCCTAATTATAGAGCTGCCAACTACTGCCGGAATCACGATGTCCACCGCGCGGCTGATTAAGCAAGTGAAGCTCAAAAAACAGCAAGATGTGCGCCAGGGAAATAGCGCCAGAGAGATGCGAATCGCCAGCTACATTTTCTGGCCCCAGGAAGTACGAGACCAGCGAAGAATGTGCGCAATGCGAGCAGGTAGGGTCACGGTGTCGACATCTGATTGATAGATCAACAGCCGAGAATGGCAGAAGTAGAATGCATGGGATGACTGCAGCTCCAACATCAGTCCCATCTGCCAAGCCATCTGACAAGATGGACTTGTGTCGCCGCCCATCTGTCATCAGGCGCAAGTGCTGCTGAAAAGATTTAACGAGGAAAAAGCTGGACCTAAACTGGACCCACTTCGAAACAGGGCTGGCCCGTCGCTTGCCAATGCAACCAGTGGACTGACGACAGGTCGCGATGGACGAGTTTTCGACGGGTGATTCCTTCAAAAGAGTCGGCGCTTTGCACCTCGAATTAAACGCATGCACAGGCATTTGGAGCACTGCAATGGTTTCTGTGCGCTCACAGACCGGACTGACCGGGGACGTGCACTGGATTTCACGGAATAGCGACAGCCTGGCCGAATGCCCGTCAGCGTCATCAGCATAACAACAAACACCTCGCCCGGTGGACATCATGTCCGACGGCAAACTCAATCACGGGGCGCTGAAGGTTCCGGAATAAACAGCGTCGTCTTGACGCCGCTGTCTTCGTGCGTCCCGGTATTACATCGAGAGTGCAGTCAGATTACGCTCCACCGCGCTCCCAGCCAAAAACATCCTCGCACAGCGCCAGGCGCTCGCAGGCCGCGCGGATGCGCGCGTCGTCGCAGTTGGCGACGGAGAACCGCACCCAGCGGTCGTCCGCCGCTGTCAGCCCCGCGGCGTCGCAGAAGAACGCGCCGGGGAGTAGCACGACGCCGAGCTCCGCCGCGATGCGGCGGCACACGTCCGCGCTCGCGCGCCCCGCGAACGGGTGCCGCACGAACGCGTAGTACGCGCCGCTGCTGCGGATGGCCCACCCCGCAGGCAGGTGCGCTGCGAAGACCGCGTGCCGCGCGGCGAGCGTGCGCGCCGTGTCTGCGACGCCGGGGCGCAGCGCGCCGAGGATCGGCGCGAGCGCGCGCTGGATCGGGCGCGGGGGGCAGATCTGGAGGGTGTCGAGCACGGTGCGGAGGGGCTTTTGGAACGCGGGGCCGGCGACGACGAGGCCGAGGCGGTGACCCGGGACGCCGTACGATTTGGAGAAGGAGAATAGGTGGATGAGGTGCGTGCGCCACGTGTGTGCGGGGTCGGAGAAGAGAGCGTGTGGCGGGGCCGCGGTGGTGATGAAGTCGCGGTAGGTCTCGTCCATGATGAGAGCAACGCCACTTGCACGCGCGAGCTGGGAGAACTGGGAGATTAGGGCCGGGGAATAGGTTGCGCCCGTCTGTGCGGGGAGTGAGAAGAGTACACGATGCTGATCACGGCCTACGGGATTATTGGGCGTCACAAGGACAATTGCCCGCGTTTTGGGAGTGATCAGCGCCTTGCATTCAGAGACGGACGGAGTGAACCCGTCCTCGGGTCGCGTTTTCAGGGGTATCGTCGTGATATTGAGCATGCTCAATGTCATCCTGAAAGCCATGAGCTCCGCTATGACACTGCGAGAAGCTCTTACTGATGATTGAAGTACCTAGAAATCTCTGAATAAAATCAAAACATGTTTTGAGGATGGGCCGACAAACCAAGGAACGGGGAGAATAACCTCGTCCCCCGCATCCGCCAGCGTCATGATCGCGGCCACGAACGCGAGGTTGCAGCCGGCTGTCAGGGCCATGTCGTCGGGCGTTATGTCCGTGCCGTCGCCGTACAGCGCCCGCATCTCCGGCGCCATTGCCTGGCGGAGCGCCGGCTCGCCTTCGGCGGGGCAGTAGCCAAAGCTGCCGAGCGCCGCGGACGCCTCCGCGAGCGCGGCGCGGAGGGGCTCCTGCGGCGGTGTTCCGGGCACGCCCCTGGATATACCACTGCCAGTGAGCAAGCGGCTCTGATAGAGGAGGACCCGGATGCGCGCACTGGGAGAGGTCGAGCAGCGGCCCGCGGGACAGCGTGTACTTTTCCGCCCATGTGTACGCGAGGGGGATGCTGCGGACGACGTGAGGGTCAGCTCGCCGTCGGGAGTACGACGAACGGAGGATCGATCGTGTTCAGGACGCCTTGGGAGAGCTTGAAAGACAGGCGGGGCGTGGCCATGACAGTTCGCGGCAACGTATAATTCCGTGCGACTCGGATCAAAAGGAACGTAATGATGCGCTCGCACACTTGGAAATTACCCCAGCTTTGTTACAATTTGATCTCCACTTCACCCTCTTGAACTAGCAGCGTAGCAAGCAATTAAATACACACTGAATGAGTCGTCTCAAGCTATATCAATCTTTTCTAGGTTCCAGTTTCAGCATGCAGAAGAAGGAAGAAGGAGAAAAATATTTGACCCCTGCCCGGATTGAACGGACGACCTTGTGATCACATTTGAAGATTTTACAGAACTGGAATCACACGTTCTACCACTGAACTAAGGGGTCACTAGAGAGTAATACAAAAGCTTCCATTAGACCCATAACTTTGACGAAAGGATTTTTGTTAAAAGGCTGGTGAATTGCAGCAAAGGACTTCTTTGCAGGACAACTTTCGGGGAATGACCACTAGAAAATCTGGAGTTCTGAAACAAAGATTTCTAGATAAGGTTGGCAGTGTACTATCATCAATGATACCGTTGCTTGTGCGAAGAGGGACGGGACGTAGTTGGAGAATAGAACAAGGCGCCTACGGTCTCATGACGAGTATGGTGACGTCGAATTCAATTTCATGGCTTCGTACAAGCGGGTGACCAATTAAATAGGACCCCTGTCAATGATAATGCCTCATGAGGTGAGGATACCGCAATGCGGACAAAATATTCGGAACAATTTTGACCACTTTGTTTCCAAATATCCTAAAAACCTTGTCGGAAAAACCAAAAATAGCAGATATGTACTGACGGGTGTTATCAGCACCGATATGCATTCCCAATGGTACATATCAGCACCGGTCAGCACGCTATCAGTGCTGGTCAGTACATCCCCGCACACCACTCCAGATGGCACAAATTGATAAAATATATTCATGTGAGCTACGCGCCTGTGATTGGTAGGAGATGTACACTGAGGTCACAGAAGTGCCTGAGTTTCATTTTATGGCCTATGAAATACATCTTTCATCTACAAAGCCAATGAAATATTTTTCATTGGGTTCGGATTTCATAGGGTCATTTCACGGGCTATTCCGATCCGATGAAATTCAAACCAATTTCTGGTGAAACCTTTTCGATGAAACTTGATAAAACATCTGGGACCTTTACTCGTCGTCGACGTCATCAGACTGATCAGATTGTTGCGGTGCTCGCAGATGATCTTGGGCATGTTTGAGAGCGCGCTGTGGTCTGTGTGTGTTAGAGGGTGTTGGGAGCGAAGTGGATCAGTGCCTCTACTCAACCACGCCGACGCGACCGCTCCCAGGCTCCCTCCTGTGCCCTCGCGCTGAGCGCACGAAACCCCCTGAAATTCACAGGGTTGGGTGGTGAAATTTACATTTCACGGGGAAGTGGAGTGAAACCAAGGGACCCACTTTTCACTAGGCTCGCGGCTGACACAGACTCGGTTATGTAACACAGACTCAGTGGATTTCACAGCAGGTTCAAGTGAAATTTTTGACTGAGCTGAGTAGGGCCTCCACCCGGCTGCTCGAGCAAGGTACAAAACTCAAGTCATCATGTCTGAAATTTTCTCAGGTATGTATGCATGCGTGTGTGCCATAAATGTTGAAGTCCTGCCAGTGCCACACATACACCTAGCTTTACTCACTTAGCTTACAAACATTTGAAGCCTACTAACCAACTAACAAAGCCCAGTGAAATCTAGCTAAGCTCAGTGAAATTCAAGCTGTTCACTAATGAAGGGTCTAGTGGACAGAATAGCCTTTTATTTCTTCTTTTCGCCAAAATGCTGATCAGTACATATATGCATCCATATTGCATGTCTGTATGCATCACAACCGTCAGTACATATCAGCTCCGGAAAACAGTTATAGCTAATCTTTGACGCATATCTGTTCTCCAAAATGCTGATAGGTGTATATGTGCTGGTATGCTACATATCGGTACATGTTTCCTGATTTTGGATTTTCCGACACTTGGACTGTAAAATGCATGCACGAGTGATGTGCTGACGTGAGCGGACTCTTCAAGTTGTCCGTCACGATCACCAGTGCTCGCTTGCCACCGTCGAGCACCTCAGTGTCCGCCTTCGGACGGCTCAATCTTTTGCCCTGCCCGCATCTAGTCCGACAAATTTGCAATGATAGTGGTTCATTGGCCGAGTCGGTTGTTGGCCCGGATTAAGATAGACAAGTTGATTTCCCCCCCTCGCACTGTCACGGCGGCATGCGCATCCGCGCGCTCTGCGAAAATGTGGACAGGAACGCATCTGCAAAGGGGACGAACAAAATGTGAGCACAAAGTCATCGGGAGTTGGACTTCGACAACTTGAAGTCGACTCACAAGAGGCATCAGGCGCGCTGTATTCATGTAGAGTGTATTGCCACAAAATATACAGTATCTACGTAACTGCCCCAATATAAGAATCCACAAAATACGCGACAGCACCGCGCTGCCAGTGGTCGGGCACACAACCTGCCCATTTCGAACACATGGATGATGCAAGTGGGCGCGCGTACAGGTAACCGCGAGCACAGGGTTACATACGCCCTCGTTGTCGCGCAGCGTGTCGGGGTGGTGGCCGCGCGTCGGGATGGCGGCACCGCCTGGTCGCAACCACCCAACTTTCGGGACATGCGCAATGGGGCACGCGTAACCGACGCGCCCCGCGTGCCTGCGTCGTTGCGCGCCGCGTTCCGCCGCAGGTCGGGACGGCGCTGCCGCCAGGTTGGGAGGGCGCGGCGGGGTGATTACTGCCACATGCGCAGCATGACAGGGTGCGCGCAGGCGCCCCCGCAAGTGCAGGAGCCGCGGCAGGCTACGGGGTACAGAAATACACACACGCCGTCCCTGCCAAAACTCCAAGGCCATCGCTCAAACCTCTGCGGCTTGCCGATGGCGTACACAGGTTCGCGCCCACCGAGCCGTTGTAACCATCTGGGCGGCTGCCCGACGGGCGTGGCGCGCGTGCAAACCGTGCAGAGTCACGCGAAGTTGTGACAATGTTGCCTGCTGCCGCAGCCTGAGGAGTAACGTGAGGCTTCGTCAGGATAGTTGCGAAGCGAGAGGCAGATCAGTACAGTGAGTAATGAATACAGCAAAGGGAATGCACCATGCTGTTGGATTCCGCACTGGCACTAGTACTGGGACTCGAAGGATTGCGCAGTCCCACGTACGCCGGGGGCTCGGCAACCGGGGGGGTGCACCTCATGTTTCTGGCACCCCGTGCCCGATCGAGTGCTGGGTCTGAGCACGGGGCGCTGGCGACGAGAGAGACATAGGTCGGGCCCGCCGCGGCACACGGGCGCACGCGCTGACGCCCGGGTCGAACTGACCAGCATCTGGGCGGGTTTTGGCCGGCGGCGTCGTGGGCTGCAGCGAGGGTGGTGGTGGTAGGAACGAGGGGGTGCAATTTTTTTTTGCCGGTGCCGGGCTTATTTGGTAGTGTCACATGTCCATACTTGTTGGTAAGGCCGACGCTTCGCGCGGCAGACACTCGTACTTATGTTTTCTGTAGTCATGTACTTACTTTACACCAACTAGATAAGCACGTGATTACACCTACAGTATGGCCGTACTGGTGTTTCTGCCACAACCATTTGAGTCAGGTAACTTTCATTGGTCCAAATTTCTCCAAAACAGTGTAGCTTATCATGTATCAAAATTTCAGCTTCCACTTTCCTTAGATCCCCACCATTCTACCTTTTTTCTGGAAGCCCGTTATGTACGTCGCCAACATGCACTGCAGGCATAGAGTGAATGTCGTGGCAGCAGGACGGGTCAGCGTGTGCAAGAGGCAGTGTGTGCAAGAGGCAGATGTGCATGCAGGGAGCCTGTACTAGTAGCAGACACAACATATGCGTTGCAGTGGCGACAAGTGATGTGGGTACAAACAGGCACCCCGGGTCAATTCTCTGAGTGCTGCGAGCCAGGCAAGACGGCTGAGAACCGGTGGACGACGCAAGACACAGCCACTAAAAACAATAGTGGCTTTATGAATTAAAATTGTGTCAAGTGCTGCTCACTGAAGAGACAGCACTCTTGAAGAGAGTAATAAGACAGTTAAAATAAAACGGTGACTATGCCGGCGAATCTGTCGGCTGCAGGAGTCTGATCTTCAGACAAAAACGAGGTAGAAGGGCGGGGATGTAAGCGTGGAAGGCAAAATTTTCAATATACGATATGACGCTTTTTGGGGGGCCACAAACAGTTAACTCACTCAAATGGTTTTAGCAAAACCGTTATCTCTGAGTCACATGAATGCCACACCTGTTAGAAATTTGACCTTCACTCCAAAAAATGAGGTAGAAGGGTGGGGATCTAAGGAAAGCAGAAGGCACAGATATTAATACATGATATGACACCCAGTTTTGGGCCAATGAACAAGTTAACTCACTTGATGGTTGTTGTAAGGGGAACCCCCCCTTTACATGCTTGCTCTGCACAGCCCACAGCCTGCAGACACCCCGTACCCCCAGTCCGCATGCCTCCCGATGCCCCCACATTCCTCCCGGTACCTCCGTACGCATCCCAGTACCTCCGGGTAGCTACCAACCTCCGAAGCCCTTTCTCCGAGCCTGTCAATCTCCGGATGTCACTCACCAACATCCACGATCGACCTCACAACCTCTGGAGCTCTCCGCACCACCTTCGGAGCTTCATAGGTTCGGCGACTCAGATGTCCGGTGATTCGGAGATCCAGTGTCTCGGCGATTCGGCGATCCGGTGTCTCGGCGACTCGACGATCCGGCGCTTCGGCGATTCGGCGATTCGGCGGTTCGGCGGTTCGCAGCCACCACCGAACAATCTCCGAAGGAACCATGGAAGCTTCGACCTCGGCCCGCTCTCTCTCATCCCCGCCCCCGCCTCCGCCTCGCCATGGTCTTAATGGATCAAACCCTCTCCAGAGAGTTTACCACTCTCTGTCCCTCTCGGACGACACCTGTGGCCATACAGGCCAGTCCGCGGGCAGGCTCAGTACGTATAACCCTTTGCGTCTGACCCCGCCCAGGTTCACCTCCTCCCCTGGCTGCTGGCCCCGCTCCGGCGAGCTGTTAGCCAGGTTTGTGTACTCCGGGTCATGCGCCGAAGGCCCCCCGGCGGTTCGGCGATTCGGAGGTTCGGAGGTTCGGAGGTTCGCAGCCACCACCGAACCACCTCCGGAACCTCTCGCCTAGTGTTGTTGGCAGAAAGCTGCCATACTGCCAACTGGCATGGCACTACAGCGGGCAGAATGGCACTACCGGGAGGGGCTTGGCAGAACGCGGCAGAATAGCCGAAGCTGAACACGATCATGTGTGTAACAGTGTGTTGTCTGGGGCCACAGCACAT